CCAATGCAAAGGAGAGTAGCCTGGACTGTTTCTCCTTAACATATCCTTGGAACGTGTTTCCTTATCTGAATTGCTTTGTACCATAGCTTTCAATCCTTAGATGGGTAGCTCCTCGGCAGCTCACTCTACCTTTCAGAACTGCAAGTATAGTTAACAATGGAGACATACATATGAAACAGGCAATAATACCTACCTGATATGATTGTTTGGATCACACAGAACATACCTGGATGATGCCCAGTGCCCAGAGTGCTGCAGTGTAGGTGCTCAGTTAATGTTAACACCTTTCCCCTTTCCTTTCATGTCTTCATCTTGATTTATTATACAACTCTGTCCATGTTCTGGCCTCTTTCTCTCATCTGGGCTATTGAAATAGCCTCCTTACTGGGTCCCCTTGTTCTGGGTCCCCTTGTTCTGGTTTTTCTCTCCTTGTCCTCACCCCCAATATCTCCTATGCCGTGCTCCAAATGTATTCTTCCTAAATTACAAAGCTTGTGAATAAATTCCTTTTTTAGAAAAAAAGGAAAGATAAAAGAACTAGAGAGTCTATTTTTCTCAATATGACGGCCTATAGATTCTGAAACTCTCCCATTATAAAAGATCTAAAAATGATAGATAAAATATTTTTAAACCTTTTTTTAAATGAATGAATGAGCCTGTAACAATGGAAGGGAAATCCTGTGAGGCTAGGAATAAAGCATGAGTGCAGATCTAGGAAGCTGAGCTAACCTTGGGGCGCTAAGCCTTCAGGGCAGGTTTGGATCTGGGTGGGCAACCAGTACTGGAGTTAAAATTACACAGTGTTTAACACAGAAAGGCAGATAGATGGGGAATATGAAAGAACAGTTAAGACACAAGTGGAATGAAGTGAGAAGTCAGAGTGGAGTGTTAGAAGATTACAATAGGCAGGACGTGGTGGCTCACGCCTGAAATCCTAGCTTTCTGGGAGGCCGAGGCGGGCAGATCGTTTGAGCTCAGGAGTTCAAAACCAATCTGAGCAAGAGTGAGACCCTGTCTCTACTATAAATAGAAAGAAAGTAATTAGCCAACTAATATATATAGAAAAAATTAGCTGGGCATGGTGGCACATGCCTGTAGTCCCAGCTACTCGGGAGGCTGACGCAGCAGGATTGCTTGAGCCCAGGAGATTGAGGTTGCTGTGAGCTAGTCTGATGCCATGGCACTCACTCTAGCCTGGGCAACAAAGCAAGACTCTGTCTCAAAAAAAAAAAGAATCGAAGATTACAATAGTGGAGACAATGAGGAGAGGAGAGACAGTATTCAAAGATAGAATGGCCACAGGTTTTTCAAAATGATACGCACCAATCCCAGAGAACACCAGGCAGCATAAATTTAAAGAAACCCATGCTTAGAGAAAACACTTAGAGTTAGGGTGGACATCCCAACAGTGATGGTAGCCAACATACAGTGATGATAGCTTATCATACAGAAATGATAGCTTCATAAGAAAAAATAACTCCTAGAATGTTTAATTAAATAAAGACTTTTTATATAAACAAAAATAAGAAAAATAGACTACGATCAGCAATAAGGATATACTTTAAAGTAACGAAAAGAGTAGAATTGGAATGTTCCTTACATTAAAGATTTGATAAATGCTTGGAATGGGTACACCAGTTACCCTGATTTGATTCATTCATAGTGTATGCCTATATTAAAACACATGTACCCTATAAAGATACACAACTATGATGTACCCACAATAATTAAAAATTTCAAAAAAAATTTTTAAATAGAAAAAGATTTACCACCAAGTAATAGAAAATGGCCTCCAAAGAACAGTAAGGTACAAAAAGAAGTGATGAATAAAGATATAAGTAAATATGTGAGCAAATCTAAACAGACAGTGGCAGTTTATAGAAAAATAATGTCTATTTCAGTAGCATATTTTTAAAAGCTAAAGTAACCGACACAGTTATCATGTAAGGTTGGAGACAGATGATTGGAATGAAAACATTCCAAGGTCCTTGTGTTTTCAAGAAGAAGAAAAGCAGTTGATTATCTTTGGACTTTACATATGCATATTAAAAACTGCCATGAAAGCATGTCTAGCACAGAAAATGACCTTTTAGTCAAGTTCAGTAAACACCTTCTCACAGTGGATACCTGGATGTTTGTTAGAATACATGTGCATACCAACACCCCCACCCCCACCCCTGTACTTAGAGCCTTTCACTCCACACATTAGGTTTCCCACCAGTAATCTTCTCACCCATTCCTCCCATTCTGGTCGTTATGTGACAACATTTACAACTCTTTACCCAGTCCTCTGTATTTAATGGCACATGTGCTGTGAAATTAGTTTTAACTCCTGCCACGGTGGTCATGAGGAAGGATGCTCTTCATTCATTGGTGTCTGGCCTGTCGTCTCACCTGACAATCCTCCCCCAGATGCAGCCCCAGTGGCAGCGCCAGTTGTGTGGTTTCACAATCAGAGCAGTGCGTATGCATCCAGAGCCTCCCAGCCTACTCCGGGACATGGCGGTCCCTTGTTCCCCTGAATTCTAGCTGTTGGCACACACTGTCTCTTGTGTTAAATGAAGATATTAATAGCAATAGTACCTTACTCTTAGCATTGTGGTGTAAGGTCAATGAATTAACACAGGTCAGAGCACTTAGGGCAGTGCTTGTAGAGCATACTACCTAAATATTACACTGTTGAGCACTTGATTCTAGCTTATCTTTCTGGCAGGATTATAGATTGCTTCATTCACATCTTAGACAACTAAACTGTAACTGATCAAAGACAAGATTAAGTTTTATGCGTCTGTGGAAGATGGAAAAGTTAGTGAATGCAATGCTCACTCACTTAGCAAGCATTAGTCACTCCTCGGTGACTTTTAAGATCAATTTCACTTGGTGAGCTTTCTGCTTCCAAAGTAGAAAATAGATTTGTAGATCTTTGAACTTAAAGGATCTCAAGATGCCAATAAGCTAGCTCTAGGGCAGGCATCCTCAAACTACAGCCCACTGGCCACGTGTGGCCCACCGAGGACATTTATCCAGCCTGCAGGGTGTTTTTGCCGCCACTGCCTGTCCTGCTTAGCAGCCGACTCGTCCTGGGCCCACAGTGCGCATGTGTGGAATGTGCGCCACACTCTCCATCGGTCTGAGGGACAGTGAACTTGGCCTCCTGTTTAAAAAGTTCGAGGACCCCTGCCTAGGGCTTCAGGGAGAACCTTTAAACTCCAGGACCTGTGGTCTCCTGTTGAAAACAAAAGGATTTTCTCTCCCATCCAAGTACTAACCAGGCCCGACCCTGCTTAGCTTCCGAGATCAGACGAGATCGGGCGCGTTCAGGGTGGTATGGCCGTAGACCAAAAGGATTTTCTCTAAGTTCCCTTCCAGCACTTGTGTGTTGCCCTAAATTATATGAATTACTCACCTTTTAACATGAAGCAGCAGAGGTACTGATGAGTTGAGTGACTTGTCAGGAGTTAGCCAGTTAGGGGGAGAGGTGAGGGACAGGATGGGTTTAAGACCAGCTGAGATCTAGAAGGGGCTAGAAATCTGCTAGTCTGCCTTCTATTCTGGCGCTTCCCCTACCCCATGCCACCTGCTCTTCTGCTGTCCTACAACTCCGTTGGCCCATGGTCACGTGTGTGTGCACGCTTCTCACATGGGCAGGATCAGAATCTGAACTATTGAACATACAGTGAATATTATATGTTTGCTCTGTGGTTCGTACTGGTCGCTTTTTTCCTTTATTAAGGAGATAATACTATTATCCTTTTTTGGTCACATATTTTTGAGTACACACTTTTAAACCTCCCCTGGAGGAAACAGAAGGATTTATTTTTTTTTACTTCCCCTGGAAACCTGCAGAGCGGATGTTTTGAATCCTTTCTTGCCAGGTGGGTATCTCACTATGGTGTTGGCAGGAGCACCTGTATTGTGTCTATTCACCTAGTTCTAAGCCTAAGAATTCCTGAATATTCAGTCAAAAGAGATTTAAAGGATTTGCTTAAATACGTCCTAATTTAGTCCAAGTTAAAGCAGGCCTAAAGATAGCCAAGTATTTGATAGAGGAATATAAATAAATGGCTCTCCCTATATATTTGGGCAGACATGTTTGGAAAAATGACATTCAGGTGATAATATTCTCCAGTTACAGATTTTAACTTAAAAATAAACTGTTTTGCTAATCTGTGCTTTAGGACAATTTATAAGATTTTATATAAGTCAGTACAGAAATATTACTTTGTAGTCCAGAAAAACGTAAACAAATGGAAATTGAGGACTTCTGAAAGAATTAATTCAGAAAAATTTTACATCGATGCCTAATGTCTGCCTCGTACCATGCTAGGTTCTGTGAATTCTAAAGATGAAGGGTAACCTGCTCTCAAGTCATTCACAGGCTAGTGACAGAACAAATTACATCGCAGCAAGATCTGCAGCAGAGATATGCTCAGGCTGCAGTAGGAGTAATAATAATTAAAATTATAACCTGGCTGAGGGGAATGCGGGAGAAATGCCAAGAGTGGTCCTTTCATATTCTGAGACTGTTTTATGATTCCTAGAGACTTTGAAGAAGCCATAAAGGATCTGGTACAATGAGCTTTTTATGCTTTCTTTTGAATTATTATGTATTTATAATATGCCTTTTTTGCTTTCCAAGTCTGTAAGTCATCTCTACTAGAGGGCAGGCTGCACAGCCTTGCTACCTGGGTTCGGTTCCCGGCTTCTCCTCTTCCTAGTTGTATGACCATTAGCAGGTTACTCACCTGTGCTTCACTTTGTAAAAAAGAGGAGAGTAATAGTATCCACCAGGCAGGATTATTGTAAGGATTAAATATATATGGGAAACATTTTAGAATTCTGCCTGGTACACCTTAAGTCTCAACAAAATTTTAGATCTTACTGTTACTAGTTTTAGTAGCTAATAAACTAGTAATATTGAAACACACCATGTTGATTATTTAGATCCTCTTTCTAAAATGCTAATTTACATAAAATTTTACATTTTTTTTTCTTTCTAGCTCCAAGAGGAAAGCGAGGATGGAAAACCTTTTATGCTGTACTGAAGGGAACAGTTCTATATTTGCAAAAGGTAAAAGCAAACTAAGTAAAAAACAAAACTCAAAGCTTTATGAAATGATGAATAAGGTACCCAAAGAGATATTCACTTTGTACAAGAAAGCCATATTAAACACTCAAAAGACTGTTTAATTTGTTTAAATTCTTGCTTGGATTATTTTTTTTTTGGTTAAAAAATTATCTGTGGATACATACATACATATATAATACATGATCAAAGGAATGGATGGGCAGTGTTCTGATTATATTCAGTAAGAAATATTGAACATAAGCTGATAAGTTAGACTTCATATGGCCTGTGCAGGTACAGACCTGTGGCAGTACTTGTTTCAGTGAATATTTATGCTATAGATTAGTTACAGCTTTCATTTATATATTATTTAAGTGTCTTAAATTTAATCCTACCTAAAGCTAGACACATGCATTTTTCATTCATATCTGTAAACATGTGCACTTAATGCAAGTATATTATAGATTATACCTGGGTAAGGGTTTGCCCAGAGCATTCCCTGTCAGGATCCTTTCTGCCAAGCTGCAGAATCTGGAAATCTGTTATGTTTCCAATTGATAAGTTCTGGCCCTTTGAAGAGTAGTCCCTGGAACTTCCCCCTCCCCAGCTCTGTGTGGGTGGAGATGGGGAAGGTGGGCGTTGACTGGGAGGAGTACAGGGTCTTGGAGGATTCTAGCTCCCACTGTGAAGGGGCAGTCACTGAATTTAGGGCCAGTAGGAAACAAGGCAGAAACAGTACTGCCCTCAATGGTGTCTGATAGGAAAAGACATTTTTTTTAATAACTGTGATTAAAAACACGTAACATGAGACCTACTGTTTTAAATGTTTAAATGTATAGTACAGTGTTGTTAACCATAAGCACAATGCAACACAGCAAATGTAGGAAACATTTTCATCTTACATGGCTGAAACTCTATACATTGGACAGCAGTTCCCCTGTCCCATCCCTTCTGCCCCCTCTCCAGTCCCTGGCAACCATCATTCTACTTTGTTTCTATGAATTTGACTATTTTAGATACCTCAAGTTGGTGGAATCCTGTAGCATTTGTCCTTCTGTCTCTGCTTCATCTCACTTAACACAAGGTCCTCCGTGGTTCGTTCATGTTGTAGCATGTGTCAGAATTCCCTTCCTTTTTGCTTTTGAATAATATTACGTCATATGTATATACAGCAGTCCCCCATTACCTGCGATTTCGCTTTCCACAGTTTTAGTTACCTGTGGTCTGCAAATAGTAAATGAAGAATTCCAGAAAGAAACAATTCTTAAGTTTTAAACTACATGCCATTCTGAGTAGCATGATGAAATCTCAGGAGGGACGGACCCTCCTGAGATGTGAATCATCCCTTTGTCCAGAGTATGCAGGCTGTGCCCGCCTGCCCTTTAGTCACCCAATAGCTGTCTCTGCTATCAGATCAACAGTTATGGCATCACAGTGCTTGTGTCCCGGTAACCCTCATTTTACTTAATAATGGCCTCAAAGAGTAGTGATGCTGGCATGTTATTATGCTGACCTATTATTAGTTACTGTTGTTACTCTCTTACTTTGTCTAATTTAGAAATTAAACTTCATCTCATAGGTATGTATGTATAAGGAAAAACGTAGTATACAGTCATCTCTGTTTCTTCGGGAGATTGGTTCCAGGACTCCCCATGAGTGTACCAGAATACAGTGGAACCCACATATTAGAAAGTCAGCCTTCTGTATATTGGGTTTGGTGTCATGCAAATGCTTTATTTTCAATCCACATTGGGTTGAAAACGATTAGTGTATATAGATATACCTGTGCAGTTCAAGCCCCTGTGGCTCAAGGGTCATGTGTGTATAGAGTTCGATGTTACCGTGGTTCCAGCATCCCCTGGGAGCCTTGGAATGTGTTCTCTGTGGGTAAGGAGGGACTACTGTATATAAACCCCACTTCGTCATGGTATATGATCCTTTTAATATTCTGATGAAGTCAATTTGATAGTATTTTGTGTAGGGTTTTGACATCTATGTTTACCAAGGATATTGGCCAGGCAATTTTCTTTTCTTACAATTATTTTCCCCTTGTTTAGCTATCAGGGTCATGCTGGCCTTATAAAATGATTTTGGAAATGTTCCCTCCTCTTCAGTATTTTTGGAGGAGTTTAAGAAGGATTGGCATTAGTTCTTTAACTGGTGGAATTCATTGGTGAAGCCATCTGGTCCTAGGCTTTTCTTTGCTGGGAGGGTTTTAGTGCTGTTTCAATCTCCTTGCTATTACAGATATGTTCAGATTGTCTACTTCTCCATAATTCAGTCTTGGTAGGTTGTATGTTTTAAGTAATTTATCCATTTCTAGGTTATTCAATTTGTTAGCATATACTTGTTCATAATAGTTTCCTATAATCCTTTTAAGTTATGTGGCATCAATTGCAATGTTATCCTCTTTCATTTCTGATTTTATTTATTTAAATGTTCTCTCTTTTTTGTCTGAGTCTAGCTAAAGGTTTGTCAATTTTGTTGATCTTTTAAGAAACAAGTTCTCAGGCTGGGCACAGTGGCTCATACCTGTAATTCTAGCACTTCAGAAGGCCAATGTGGGAGGATCGCTTGGAGGCCAGGAGTTCAAGACCAGCCTGAGCAAGAGTGAGACACCATCTCTACTAAAAATAGGAAAATTAACTGAGCATGCTAGCACACACTTGTAGTCCCTGCTACTTGGAAGGCTAAGGCAGGAGAATTGCTTGAGTCCGGGAGTTTGGGATTGTAGTGAGCTATGATGATGCCACTGCACTCTAGTCCTGGCAACGGAGTAAGACACTATCTCAAAAAAAAAAAAAAAAAAAAAAATTCTTGGTTTTGTTGATTGTTTTTTTCTATTGATTTTCTGTCTTCTATTACATTTATTTGTGTTCTAATCTTTATTCATTCCTTCCTCTGCTTTGTGATTATTTTTTTATGTCTAGTTTCTTTAGGTGTAAAATTAGGTTGCTTAAGATATTATTTTTAAATGTAGGTGTTTATTGCTATAAACTTCCCTATTGGGACTGCTTTTGTTATGTCCTACAAGTTTTAATATGTTGTGTGTCCATTTTCATTTGTCTCCAGTTATTTTCAAATTTCCATTTTTTTTAATTCAGTTGTTCAAAAGTGTGCTGTTTAATTTCCACATAGGTGTGAACTCTCCAATTTTCCTTCTGCTATTAATTTCTAGTGTCATTCCACTGTGGTTGCAAAACATGCCTGATATGACTGCAGTCTCTTAAATTTGTTAAGACTTGTTTTGTACCCTAACATGTGATCTGTCCTGGAGAAAGTTTCATGCACACTTGAATGTATATATTGCTGCTGTCGGTGGAATGTTCTGTATGTGTCTGCAAGGTACATTTGGCCTAGAGTGTCTGTCATCAGAGTTCGTCATTTCCTTATTGATCGTCTGTCTGGATGTTCTATACATTATTGAGAGTGGAATGTGGAAATCTATTATTGTGTTTGGAGCTTCTCCCTCCTCCAGTTCTGTCAATGTTTGCTGCATATGTTCGGGTACTCTGATGTTGAATGCATATACATTTATAACTGTTTCATCTACCTAGTGAATTGACCCTTCTATCATTGTATAATGTCCTATTTTGTGTCTTTTGACAATTTTTTAAAATTTTATTTTTGTTTATAGGGTTATTTATTTATTAGTGCCTCTGGGTAGAGATCTTTTGACAATTTTTGATTTGAAGTCTATTTTATTTGATGTAAGTGTAGCCACCCCTGTTCTATTTGCATGGAATAGCTTTTTTGTCATTTCACTCTCAGTCTTGTGTGTCTCTAAATCTAACATGAGTCCCTGTAGGGCAGCAGTGTGTAGTTGGGTCTCTTTCTTTTTCTTTTGTCCATTTAGCCACTCTGTGTCTTTTGATTGAGGAGTTTCATCCATTTACATTTAACTTAGTTATTGATAGGGAAGGACTTAACTGTTGCCCTTTTATTTGTTTTCTGTCTTGTTACTTTTTAACTTTTCTTTCCTCTTTTGAGTATTTCTTTGTACTTTTTTTTATATTGACATTTGTTTATTTCTTTCTCATTTCCTTTTGTATATCTTTTTTTTAAAAATGTGGTTACCATGGGGCTTACACAAAACGTAAGAATCTATTTTAAGCTGATAACTTCAGTTGCATACCAAAACTATATTTCTACTCCCCCACACAGACACATTTTGTTATTTGATGTCACAAATTACATCTTTTCTATTTGTTTCCCTTAGCATAACTTATAATTATAAGCACTTATCACTTTGTCTTTTAATTTCATGCCAAAATCAAGTGATTTACTCACAACTATTATATAATATTAAAGTATTATGTATTTTTCTATATACAGTCAGCTCTCTTTATCAATAGATTTCACAGTCAACCCACTGTGGATTGAAAATATTCAGAAAAAAATATTTCACTAAGTTCCAAAAAGCAAAATTTGGATTTTCTGCATATCAAGTGCTATACTGAATTAACGCCAATGAAGAGATGTGTAGGCATTGTATTAGGTATTATATTACTCAGGCTGGTCTCAAACTCGTAACTTCAAGTGATCCTCCTGCCTCAGCCTCCCAAAGTGCTGAGATTACAGGCATGAGCTTCTGTGCTTGGCCTGTTTTTGAATTTCTTGTTAGATAATTTATATACTTCATTTTCTTATGAAGAAAATCTTATCTGGAGATTTATTTTTTTCCATTGGACCATGTTTTCCTGTTTCTTCCTGTCTTTTGTAACTCTGTGGAGATCAGTACATTTCAACAAACAGCCACCTCTACCAGTTTAAAAACTGGCTTCATACAGGGGAAGACCCTCACCAGTCATCCTGGCTAGAGATTCTGAGGACCTCTGAATCCTTTTTGAGGGGCTGTGGCTTCTCTGGGCCTGTCCATGGCAATTTCTCAATTAGAGAGGCTTGCCAGTTTCTTTTTTGGGAACTTGTATTTCTTATACCTTCCAATTTCTGGCTGCAACACTGCAAGTTATGTAGTGCTACAACAGCAAGCTACCCAGCTC